ACAGTCGTTTAGTTTTTTAAAAGGGTTTTAAAACATATTTTTTTAATTTAAAAAATTCTTTAAATTTTAAATTTTTTAAATAAAAATGACTTTAAATATAGGAATTGACCACTGGATTAATCTTTTTGTTGAATATATAAATAAGTGTTTGACGGAATAAATGAATGCTGTGAAAAAATCTTTGATGAGAAATGATTAGGTGTAAAACATGTATTTTCGCTGTTTTTATGTTGATTTTGATGGTTCTTTGTATGGTTTTCAAAAACCATAAAATAAAATACGGTATGTATTTCAATATGTTGCAATTTTTGTATGTACTCGTACATATACAATGTGTGACCAGATATTGATTGGTTGTGCATGTGTTACAAAAAAGTTGTTTACAATCGTTTGGGATAAGCAATAGACATACATGTATATGTTTTCCTATCTCAGGTATAAATGAGTCATACTTTATATTATATATCGTCATTTCTTGTTGTTTTTATTATTATTCTCACAGGAGCTCGGGAATTGAACCACAGTTTGCAGCGCATATTTCAGATCATGCACCGGCTTTACATAGTGTATGTCCGACCTATGAATATTCATATTATCCGAGTGGGTGGTAAAACTAAAGTTATTAAGTTCTGCTATTTCAAACATCGGTCAAAATTTGTATTACACCGTCAGATTTGACAAAATTCAAAACTAACAGACCGTGTTAAATGTTAAAATGATTATATTAAATTATATTCTTTGATGCCGTACTCTCGGATGATATGAAAAGATAGTTAGATGTATGAACGGAAATTTGCGACGCAATCTGCGGTTCCGTTTCCTGAGTTCATATAATTTGGAAGTCCGTAGGTCGTTATTTCCTGTTGCAAATGCATAAGAACAATAATACATGTACTGACGCGTGACAATTTAGCACGACAATAATGTGTTAACAATTATTTTACAGAACGTAAGATAATTGTCATATAAATCACTTCGCGCTGAATTTGTTATAAACTTACTAAGTTAAACAATGTGGAATTTAGCTTACATACAAAATACAAAATCAAATAACTTGATGGCTTGCCAAAATTCAAAAGAAGCGTAACATAGTTTTGACGAGTAACTTAGGTGCTTTTTAGAAACTGTCTCATAGGTGGTGCAAAATGTTGATTTGAGAAGGATTTATTTTAAATGCATTCACTCCGACCTATTTCCCTAAAGGAAATAGATCTTCGCGGTAAAAATAAATAAATTTTAAATGTTCGAAAGTGGCATTCCGTCAGTACTTTATTCACTTTGATTCCTTAATTCCGGAGAGTATGACCGTGATTCTCAATTCCAGAACTATCAACTGATTCTTCCAGATTTAATATATTTTTGCTTTACAATTCAACTAATTTACATCTTTATTCAAAATAAGAGGATGCAAATGTTAATAAGCTTTGCAGTATCAACAGCAGTTGGTTTATTCAAAATTATATTCTTCTTTTTATATCTGCAATCTTGAAAAATCGGCATCTCCCGCATATTTAAAAAATAGGCCTATCTTATACGTGGAACGCGAATACACCAATGCAATTCGCCCGCGTTATAAAGTTATATTCTTTCGCGAGAAAGTAATGTTTTCCTACAAAACCTACACAGTTTGCCTATGCCTAATTTAGAAGGGACATTGACTGTTATCAATTCCAAATTATTACAGTTATTTAGTCTTTATTCCAATGTATAAAAGAAACTTGTGTCTGTCACTTTTGCGACAAAGATGGAACAAGGAGGCCCCCATTTTACCATGTCATTACGTCTGAGCTCTATTGCGAAGCAAAATAGTCGAGGAGATCTGATTGTTATATTTGATACTCGGCAGTGCAATGTTTATTATTATTGTGTATTCCATGTACATGGTATCATCACTTGCAGTAATTCTGTAATGTATGGATATTACTTACACAAGTGTAATAATGTCTGTTCCATTACAATTGGTGTTAAGAGAGTGTTAAACAATTTGATGTCTTATTTCTAGATAATTCTCATTTTAGATGGACAAAAGATTGATAGGAAGTTCAAATCCCGAGTCAAATCACACACAAATAGGTCTTCTACTTCGAAATACACGTTTTCATTAATAGTTGGTTAAAGTTATGAGGCCTCTTTTTGGTTTCAAGACGTTGTGAGTTATGCGAATGAATGTTTTTATATACCTGAACCGTTTGTGGTTTTATCCAAAGACGGTCATTACCAGACTGTTACCGGAGGATTTTATAATCACAACGTGCCGTAAGAATAATTTGTTATCATATCTCTTTGTAATGTTTCTTAAAGTGAGTCTGATTTATTTAGCAGATAATATAATGTTCGTTCTTGGAGTAAAATATTATTTATTAAAGAACTAAATGTTTATACAGAATTTTATCAACAATTATTTTCAAGTACATGCACTGTTTTATAAGAATATTCAAATGATACATTTTTTTATTTATCAATATTTGAAATTCCTTATCGAAATTGAGCTGATTGTACACCAATTCACTTTAACATGAACATTGCAAACAATGCTTGTTGATCAATTAGTTTGTCTTCAGTAAACCACAATGAATTTACCAAGGCACAGTTCAGACACCTCAGCGTTCCTGGGCAGACTGTCCAGCAGTTTACCAGAGAAGAGGTACAATACGAATGCCCTAGAAAGGATTCCATGATCAAACACAACGAAAGTGACCTGCACTGTCCGGGAATGGAACTGGGGTTGTCCGATTCACAGTCCAACGCTCAACCTATTGAGCTAACCGAACAGCTACCTACTTTTCAGATCTGATTTGTATGGTCCATTTTCTCGTTTCTGATTTAGAAATTTAAGGTTCTTTCCATTTCAGATTCAGATTTGTGTCTTTTAATTCAACTTTCTAATTTTCAGTGTTCGTATATCCGAAAATGACCAAATGGAATCTCTTTTGACCACCTTCTTCAGATTGTTTACTTGCGATTTCTCATCTATACAAACGCCTTATGACAGTTACATAGTGCAAACAATTGTCAAAATGTATTCAAAAAGGCTGTCATTTAACTACTGTAGTAACTCGTATACATCAGTTTCAATGGAATGCTTAAATGAATTGGAAACAATGTGTAAGTTAAAATTGCATCGTTTTGTATCATCTACAAACATTTCAATGAAATTCGTCAAAAGAATGATGGAACTTTGTCCTAATCTAAGAATTGTTCATATTTTAGAAGAGCCAAAGGCAATATTTGCTTCCAAAAAAGGTGAAAGTCCGTCGGCAGGCCACAATTTACAACCGAGTTTTTCTATTTTTTGTGCCTTGATGTACGAAGAATTAAAACTTTCCCATATGATACAAGAGATGTATCCAAACAGAATTATTTTGTTGTCTTTTGAGGCGATGAAAGTTTCACCCTTTTCAGCTGCAGGTTATATATACTAGTTTCTTCATCTATTTCTATACACGGAAAAGGTTTGGTTTTGGGTTTATTCTAACATTCAAAGCACCATAATAAGAAATACATCCGAAAAGTTACGAACTAATTTAACAACACCAGAATTTCGATGCACAGGAGCTTTTACTGATGAAATGTTTAAAGCCATTGCCCAAAGGTGTTATGATATTCATCGCTTCATTTGTGATGTATTTAATTCGACAAGCTTCGTTCTTTCTCAACAGTCTCGCGATAAGACTTTTCAATAATTTATTGTCATAATTGGCATATTTTTGTACATTTGAAATGCATTTAATATCGTAGATGCTTTCTGCCATTGTGTGTCTTCGCCCCTCAAAAATCGACACCAAGACACGGTTATAATTATGCAGACTAATTATGCAGACTAATCGTGTCTTCGCGAGAGCGGACACGAAGACACGATATATTTTCGGCGAAATAACGCAATTATAAAAAACTTAGCATTTCGGAGAGAACCTTTAATGCCGAACATTTTAAAATGGACTTGATTCAGCGGACAAATGTCCACCATCATACTTCTCCCTACAATGGCTTTAACAACTTGTTAGGTGTGACCATTTAGTAATTTGATTTTTGTTTCATTCAATGTGATTATATTAGTTAAAAATATGCTGTCATAAGTTGAAAATATACTGTAATGTTTATCATATTTATAAGTAAAATGATTCATACTTAACTTCAATAAGTGGGATTGAATCATATTTATGAGTTTTATGAAATTAACTCCCCAAAAACATTCTTTTTATAAGGCCCATTAAGCCCCAAAACGCTTACATTTTTATTCTCAAAATTTTATTCTTTATTTTTGGTGATATGTTATAGACTAAAAAATACTCATTTGCCAATTACCTGAACCATATTATATATATTTTGCTTCTGTTGCCTTTTGGCAATTAGTAGAGTTATAGTGATTTAGTATTTTGTATGGAACTAAAAATACTACGTTGCGTACATTTTGCTAATCTCACATTCAGCGCTACATTCTTCAGGTGATGAACATGTAATATTCCCTTAAACCATGATTTAAATGTTTCAAAACTCACGTTTGTCCTATCTAAATGGAAAAAAAATGTTTCTGTGGAAATATGTGCCTTTAATGGTCAATATTATTTTTTTCTTTTAAATATTGTAAGTGTTATACGGTTGTGCCGTTTCGTTGGCATTCTTGATTCTTTGCCATGTGGAAACCGTTCTTCTTCGGTTCATATAGATATAGAACAAAATTCTTAAACATTTGTTGCAACAAATAACGGTTCCGGACAATCTGGACAAATTTCCTTATTTCTTATTAAGAGGTCAAAATCAATATTGAAGTACAGAGTAACATGTTGTGATGACAACATGATGATAATAGTTGATATGTGTTGGTATTCACAAGAGCACACGTTGACAAAATTACTTATAATCATGATAAATAATCTAAGTATCAGTTTGTATATTAATCTTTTTTGTTGTTGAAATAGCAGTGCCTTACCTTAATTACATTTAACTGGTTAAAGAATAATGTATCAGCAGCCGTATGCGTTTTTGTTTTTCTATGAAATATTTTGGTCCGATTAACCGTGATGCTATTTCGGTATTTTTTGGTCGGGTATTAAATCACACCAACACAGTACATGCCAAATGTCAATTTTCCGGCTTTACCGGTAGAGGAGCAGTTCGAGTGCCCTTCTGTACATTATTTCAGGCAAAATGAGGACTTGAGTAGAACAACCGACGTTCCATAAGCTACGTGAATACCTTTCTCACATGAAAGAATTCGAAGACGCTTGCGTAGCTCAAACCTACAGCGGTGAGAGGCAAGTGGTTTGAAATCAACGGCGTTGTGCACTCGATCATGCCGGAGAATCGTACCAGAAAAAGGGATAATATCAGGGCAAGCAAAGTCGAATGATCTTATAATATTATATTGTTTATTGTTAATCACAAAATAGATACAGTTTGTAAAATAACAAAGGAACAAACAAAAGAAGAATAAATGAAAAATAAATAGACACAGAAAAGTATTCATTTGCCAAGTGGCATTCACAGGTTTAAAACAAATATATTTTTCAATTCTTTGAAATAAATAACAAACTATTAACAGACGTTAGGAATAGAAACAAATTTGTTGAAATTTATTCGAAGGTGGGTAAAAAGGAGTTTGTGATAGGTATATATTTACCATTTTTTCACACTAGTTACCAATTAACTTTCAAATTTTAACTTTAAAATTTTGCATCTTGTGATCTCCTAATATAAATCAATATTTGATACAATCTTATCAATTAAGCCTCGTTTTCGTTGTAACTGTCCAAAATTCCATATCAAATCACTATTGTTCTCCATATTGTCTCGTTTTCATTTTCAGAGTCCAAAAAATCATATCAAATACTTATTGTACTCGAAGTAACAAAAGTCTGTAAATTTGTAAAGAATATTATGGTGTAAAGTAAAGAGGTCATTATACATTTTGAGTATAATACTGATTCTATTGGATTCGTACACAGCTGCAAAACCTTTATTAGATCTACATGTAGGAAGTTCCTCATCTAATATATTTTGACAGCTGTGCACTCGTCCAGTGAAATTCAATATTGTACTCAACAATGTTCAATAACCTTTTATCAAAACCTTTCATATATTTTTAACTTTTATTCGAGTAAAACATGTTTTATCAAACAATTGTCTTTTTAATTCAGCAAAACATATTACAAATATTATTAAATATTTTCAAGCAAATTCTCTTCACATTTAACGATATCTTTCACAAATACTAACTATTTTTTGTTCGTGTATAATATAAAAAAAATCTCATTTATTTGAAGTTGCACTGGTTACGTCTTTATACCATTATTATTAAAGATACCCTTCAATATTGTCAACTTTTCTTCTTGTTGGCTTTCCTGAATTCAGATCTTCTACTGAACTGATAGGAATGTATCCTAGAGCTTTGTAGACGTCCGTGCAAGACAGATCTATCTCCTGCACCTTTTTATAATACAAACTTTCACGCCAACGATTGGCAACTTTGGATGAGTTAAATCTCACAGTTGCATAGTAATGAGTTTCGGTTTCGTTTTGGTTTCTCATGCTATTAAAAACCCAAAACCAAGTCTTTTCTCGAAACAGCATATTTAGGAAATCGTAGATAAAACCTGTGGCAGCGTAAGGTGACCCTGCCAATGCCTCATAGGACACAATAATTAATCGGCCAGGATATTTCCTTTGAATAAACCAGTCTTGTTTTACATCTTCAAACATTCTTGTACACATATCGGCTGAATGACTCACTGTATCAAGTGCCATCTGAAAATCTTGACCTTTACTCCGCGAATGAGTGATAGCACGTGGGTCTCGAACTAAATGAACGACTTTTAAATTCGGCCACATCTCGACCATATTACTTACAAGCTCCATCGAAACTCTGATTGTTTTTACAATTCGGTGCGTCTTGGATAGACACACCCTCTCCAGTTCTTTGATACAGAAGTAGGATCTGTATGAGTTGAAGTCCCTACAGTGCGTAAATGTCCCTGCATTCAGTCGCACTTGATGCCGCACCAAAATCTCTTGAGAAAATGTATGAAGTAATGAAAATTGGCACGTGAACACTCTATGAATGGTAGTTATCATGAAATCGTGTCTCTCCATTAAAGACAGTGGTCTCCTGAAACACGGAATCATATGTCAAAATATCAATGACTGCTTTGAATTAACAAAATGAGTCTATATTGTATTCCACTTCACTTATATATTACAAAATGATGTTTAAAGCGTTGATCTACAGCTTAATATGCGTGTTAAAAATAATGATGAAAGATCATTGATCTGCATGTTACAAATACTGTTTAAAGATCGTTGATCTACATGTTACAAAATAATGTTTAAAGATCGTTAGTGTACATGTTACAAAATGATGTTTAAAGAGCATTGATCTACAGCGTTGATCTACATGTTACAAAATGATGTTGAAAGATCGTTGATCTACATGTTAATAATGATGTTTAAAGGACGTTAGTCTTCATGTTACAAAATGATTGTTAAAGAGTGTTGATCTATATCGTCGATCTACATGTTGAAATATATATATTAGTGGCATGATTATGACTTACCTGTAGCTATTATTATTAAAAGCAACCATATTAGTCAGGTAGTAACCTTCCGCCAATGGTCTCTGCATTGGTTCAAACATATAAAAACTCTCTTCCGCCTTGCTCAGTATCTCTCCAAGCCATGACGACCCAGTCCTACCATAGCCTACAATTATAACAAATGTTGCAGTCTGTGTGGCCTTATCTAACTTCAGATCTTCCTTGTCAGAACTGACGTACATGTCATCTGGAAAGAAAAATAAACGCTAGGTATAGCAATAAATGTATTTTATGTAATCAATCATAGTTAATTAATAAATAATAATACATTTGTAATTAATTAATATTAATTAATTAATTAATTAATTAATAAGTTATATTGTTTGACCCTTATACTTAACTTTTTTTCGCTTTTTCAATCTTTCCTTTCCTTTGACCCAGGTTTGTAAAAATTATTGTCTAAAAAGTTTATTGGTATTAGTTAGATTTGCAACTGAAATTAACATATTTTCTGGCATTTTTGTTAATAAATTTCCATTTTTCAACTTTAGAATGTGTTATATTTACGAATTAAGCCACATTAGTAGCAGGTTTCCAAAGATCCATAAAGGCCATAGATGTGAATATTTTATTCTACAATACTGTTAAACTCCTTTTTTATAAATAAATACACGATAGCCACCTGGATTTAAATCCTATCTCATTTAGATGTTGAAGAATAGTTAGGTTTAATTCTCTCATATTGATATACCTGAATGATAATGACTTGTTCACTATGTTAAATATTGAGTTAGAAAAAATGTAAATGATTATGATTGAAGTGCATGCTTTCTTCATGTTAATAAGTACGGACATATTTATCCCAAAATACATTTTATTCCTATGTATTTACAATGACGTGCTATTCTTACAAAAATTATTTTGATTTCGTTGAGTAAAACAAAAACAAAAATACAAAAAAAAACAACAGATAAAACATCTATGTTTATATTACAGGTTTATAAACTATAGGATTGAACTTGAATTAAATATATTTAGAAACCTTCATTTGTATAAATATAGTCGACCGCCATATGTGTAAAACCAAGTATAAACACCAAGGTTATCAACTTTGACCTTAAGCTCATCGCTGCCACGTGCTCCCATAGTAACCCCCACACACTGTTCGAGGACAACCGCATGTAATGCAAAAGATACAGTCCTACAACAGATAATAATAATAATAATAATAATTATGATAATAATACAACTAACAACAACAACAACAAAAAATAATAATAATAATAATAATACTAATAATAAAACTAATAATAATAATAAAACTAATAAAAACCATAATTATAATACGGAAGGATTCTTCCTAGCAGCAGAAATAGCCAATTTAAATAATAGTTTTACAATTTTATATAGCACCTTTTCAGTGTTAAAGCTTCACCTTCACATAATCCATGAATATATTACTATTATTTTTAATACGTGTTTCAAGTTTTAATATTTATATAAACACTTACTCCACCTGACCACTCCATAAGCCCATTTCCTAGACTTCATGCGAATCTTGTCTTTTAATATTAAACTAATCGTAATGATTCTGTCTTTACCATACATTTAGTTGCATCTAAATATCTTTTCTTGTAACACAACATTTATGAATATCCGAACATTCTAATTTTTACAATACAAGAGTTGAAAAATATAACCCGCGATTTACTTAAACAATCAATCGTTTACAATTAGGTTGTTACTCAACGATGCGCTATCGGTTTAAATAAGCAAAATCTTGCAATGCCTTAGATTTTTATGTTTGTTTCAATAAAACCAGTTAAGAATTAATTACCTGCAAGCATATTGATTGGCCTGCCATAAACCAAGAATTTCTAGATACAAGAAAGTTTCACATGTGTTACAGTATCGCATATTTTCCCTTTTTTCTATAAACATATCGGAAGTTTTTACATTATATTCATTACACACCGCGTCATGTCTCCTAATTGATTTCTGGTCATACTCGAAATAACTGATATTGTACATGATTATTGTTTTCCCTTAATGTTCACGTATTGTTCAAGAACAGCGTTGCTTAAGTTATACAACTCAGAAGTATTGTACTTTATGTATGAATACTATGTTCTCAAATGAAAAACGGATGCGTAGAAAAGTATATGATTTCTTCTTATGTACTCGTACACACTAAACTTAATGATTGCAAAGAAACAATTAAATGTTTGAATATCTGTTTGCTGTTTGACACGAGAAATTAATGTCGAAATGTCGTAAGGTTGGTGTTCACAAATCAGTTTATCATCCAGACCATATAACTGCATTATTATAAACACTTAAGCATTTCTAACAGAAAGTGGTTGTTGGTCATTGCCACAGATATGGCCATCTTACTAAGCTTTATACAAATGGTACTCCAAATTTTGTATTTCGAAATAGGAACTCCCTAGCCTTTGACTGGACTGAACTTAACTTTTTCTAATTGAAATCTGAGAAAATCCATTACACATATTAATCAGGTAAATGGTTAACAAACCATATGATCTATGATCACTTCAACACTTTATGAAAATGTTCTTGCGTAGATATTTTTAAAGCATATGAAACCCTAAATGGTTCTTCAGTAATGTAATCGTCACTATTTTACTAATCGTCACTATATGAACATACATCTTATATTGTAGTGTAAATTAATTTCAACGTGTCCGGGATTTACAGTCTTTTAGCATAGACCAATAACAGCAGTAGGCGCGCGAAAAGTACAATTTATTTGAACAGGGTGATGGCATGGTTTAATAAATTTGTTATGAAAAGAAATTGTACTTTCATAAAGTTTTTATCTGTTCTGTTCTCATTACAAACAAATAAATTTGAAATTTTTGTTAAACAGCAAGCGGAAATGAATTTCACCTAATTATATTATTGACGTCATATATGACGTCAATTAATGAGTGTGTCAAATTTCTGTTTAAAAACCTTACGCATACACTCGAGAGCTTAAAGGAAATAATGAGAGCTATGTTAAAATTAACAACTAATTTCTTACATTTTATGTTACAGTATAACAATAACTTATGCCAACGACAGGTCATAAATTCTTCAAAAGACATAGAAACCTTTTGGCTGTTCTGCCTATGTGGGCAGTGATAATATACAGCTGGAAGAAATAGACCACCACGAAAGTGTTATCCAATTTACAAATTGAAATCTAATCTATACACCTCCATAGAAATATTTTGAATTGACAATGCTGTCAGTAAAGGACTTTTCAATGTCTTTGTAAACAAAGTGTGATTTCGTTGTGAGGCATTTACAAGATTCCGATAACACATTGATGAAGAGGCGTAAAACTGTTAAAAATTACCAGAGTTACCCGAGACTTTGGAATGAAATAGATGAAGTAACAGAAAAAACTGAACAAAAGAAAAAACACGAAAGGATTGCATTTTGCTGAAAAATAATAATAATAATAAAATAATAGGCAGGTTACGCACTTTTTCTTTCATAAAATGTATGGGAGATCTCGGATATCAATAAACATTTTATCTGTTGGAATATGTTATACGTAACTGCCAAAAATATATTCATTTAATGTATTTCATCCCTTTTGTTTAGAAATCAAGATGAGACTCTTTCTTGTTATTGTCACTTCATATACACTTACCTTTTGAAGGAATTTTATTGTTATCACTTTACAGTTTACTAATATTGTGAATGACCTCATTCTCCCGGCTTCTTGTCCATATACACAATTTTGTACCAGTAATGCTGCCCTCAATATCGGCAAAGAATGAAGATGAAACACTGATAACACCTGAATGCTACTTTCAAGTGTACAATCCTAATGCTGATATACTTAGTGATTTTGATGAAAATATTTACAATGGAATTAACTTCTACAATACTTGTGTAAACTGTCCAAAGACATACCAAAACATCGACACAAAAGAAAAGTGTGAAGGAATACAAAAAAACGTTGAAGATTTTACTGTCGTTTCAGATTTGCAGGGTATAGTTTATAGAAAAAGATATTGCGCTGGATGCAATGATGTGAATACCACAATGTCATGGAATCTTATATTAAATTGTAGGGTCACTAAATATTTAATTGAAATACAACCGGAATTAGAAACATTAGACGAACTACAGGATTGCATGATGTGGTCTTTGCCGCCTGAGCTAAGCGTGGGAAGACCTTTTCTATGTTAAAATGCATATGACTTGTACATTATCACTGGACAATTGCAAATTGATCCTGGAACGCAATATCATCATGATATCTTACAGAATGTGTGCCAAGCATACACGTTATATTATATTGATGCTGAACAAATCGGTACACGAAATGCATTAAAAGTTTTTAAAAATGTTCATTGTTTCTTTTGCAATATTTCAAGATAAATTACAGGAATTCTGCCCTTTGCCAGAACAAGAATACGCTGATTTCTACAAAATGAATTCCACTGTGGCAATGAAATACAAGTATGCGATAGAAGAGGGAAGAATAGACCCCAACTTATACAACTTTCTATGATGAATGTGTTGATAGATCACATAAGCGTAAGTATTCCACTTATATGAATATGGCAGGTCATTACAGATAGGACTTCTGAATTCAGTGAAAAGACATTGATTTGTGGGAAAATTCTAACTTCTTAAACACACTTGGAAAAGTAATATCAAATACAATCGTAAAACCAAAAGCAAAGTGTAAACACTGCTTTTCACGAGCCAGGGCACACGTCAATATCAGTGATAAAAATATTACAGCTGTTCTAACTTTTCATACCACTAAATATTGTAAATTGGAAAACATGTATTCCAGTTTGTATACTAATGCTAAAGCTTCACAGTCTCTCGTTGATCTCAGCATCGACGATAAAGCATTTCGATTCAGCACAGCCATGTAACGTGATTACATAACAGATAACATAGTTATATCAAGCCATGATCAAAATAGTAAAACTAAAATCTGCGATCAATCCAATTTGTATTATGGTGAACTTATTTGTCCAAAAATATTGTTTAACGAAACTGAATTTAAAGTAAAGAAAACAAAATCAACCTTAAGAGGTCCAGTTCATTAAACGTCAAGATCGTTCACTAAATCACACGACGACAAAAAACAATGTAATAGACGAAGCTAAGGAAAACAACTCAACAAAAACATATGACAGAATCGCTGTCTTTGAAGTGTATTTACATGATTTTTATTGCTTTGCATGATGGCTATTGTTATAAGAAGTCACAGTCGATTGAAATAACTTTTGTAATTATGCTGATTTCTGCGTTAATATAAATGTTATGTCGGCTACAAGGAATTATTGAAATATGGAAGTCATATGACACAAATGTGGTTAACGTTGTTGAATAAATTATAAAATAGACAGAATCCCTAAAGAAAGACCAAAAACTGCAAAACTGAAAATGTTACAGACCCGGTTTGATTGAGCTTATTCATGGACGGAACAGGAAAGTGCAATCTACCGTCCACACACCCTAGCATCGGTTAAAGCAATATTCAATTTTTAAAATGTGTGGTTTCGTAGTTGCTTATTAAGCGTTTTAAAATAAAGTGCATTTCACAAAAGAATACCAACCGTATTCATAGTTATGGTATGATTTGTTACTGATTGTTAATTTGCTAATTTTCTTATAATGGAATAAAAAATAATGTTACATAATAATAATGTTCACAGAAATATGTGAAATATTTTATATTGAATTGAAATCATTTTGTACAATTGAAGCTAAATCTGAAAAAGTACCCCCCAAAAATCGGCATGTAATTCCTAACTCAGTATACGCTTTATATTTTAAGGTTTATCACAGCACCATGAAATCACTATAGGGGTCATATGTATAAAGATGATTATAAAATCTTATAAATTGGATATATACATGACCAGGTTCATTTGTAATATATATCTGGCCAAGGGGTTCTCATTTTGGACCTAATTGCAATTTTTGACAAAATATGTCTTTAGTTCATATAAATATTTTATTCTTATATCCTCGTCCTTAATTTTGTCTTGATTGTGTGGATTGACAGACCATGTAAATAATTAATACGGGCAAAATCAATTTTTGACAGTTGTTATTAGTTTAATATTGCGCAAGAACAATCGGTGACATGGTAACAGGAAATGTAAGATTGAATATGCGCTACAAAGGTTCAGGTTCAGTTGACATTTGTGCCAAGTTTTAACAGTATTGCACTTGTTACAGGAGGCTTTTCAATGAAAACGGCCATTTTTCACAAAATGCTCATAAAATGGGTCATTGATAATATCTGCAGTGTTTCACCAAACTATACCAAGCGGTTTATTATTATCATTATTATTTAAAGCTTATATTTATATTAAGTCATAGCGGCCGGTTTGTTTAACACTATGGCTATAGCTTTATATAAAATAGGCTTTAAATATTATCCTTCTTATAGCCGCTAGGTTAAATTTGATGAAGCACATTGATGGCATTGACTTCTAAGTAATTCATGCTGTGGTTGAGGTGAAGAAATCTTTAAAAGAATTTGCTTTTGCTCTGGTGGACATCTTCTTTGGCGGACCGGAAGGCCCAGAACACTTGAGGAGAAAGGAAAACGTAAGGCCATTTCTGAAGAGTTTCATTAAAATGTTACAAGCTACATGTCGTTTAAATCTTATTCCTACACCTTGATTTGGCGGCCATCTTGTTCAACAGACAGGAAGCATTTGAACAGCCACTGACAAAGACGACCTTATATTCGTGGCTGCATAGTTTCTTTGAAATCTCCTTAGTGATTAAACATGAGATTTCGTTTAAAGAGTTGTCTAT